TATAATATTTCTTATAAAAATAATAATTAATTATTTTGTTATAACTCGATAATTATCCTAATTATATTTTAGATTTTTTATATTTTAAAATGAGATGCTAATCCTCTATTTGATTATGTTTATTTGCGGTTAGTTACACGAATTCAAACATTGAGCTTTAATAAGTTGTACTTATACATAATTTACTTGTAATCTTGAATTTTAAATAATATGTATCAATAAATAGTACTTCATTTATAAAAAATGGTTTTTAAGAGTTTTTGTCAAATGTTTTATAATATAGTATAGATTAAATAACGAATTTGAAAAATAGTAATTTAGGATCCAACCCTCAAAACACTTCAAGAAAGTCTTGGTATTATATAAGGATTCATCATTCAGGTAATACATGAATGCATGCTTCCAAGTTTCAAAACCCATCAAGCACCAAATGATGACTAAAACATTCATTCTCCTCCTCTTTTGTTCCTTGATCAGACCTTCATCTTCCATTAACTTTCTTTCAAAAGGCTCCTCTCTTTCTGTTGATGATGATTCAGACCTCATAACCTCCTCAGACAACACTTTTACTTGTGGATTCTATGGCTTCCAACTCAATGCTTACTGGTTTGCAATCTGGTTCACAAACTCCAACAACCGCACCGTGGTTTGGACGGCCAATCCCAATAGACCTGTCAGTGGTCGTGGCTCAAAGGTGACGTTTCATAGTAACGGAGTCTTGGTTCTAACTGACGTGGATGGCATGGTCTTGTGGGAGACGAACATGACCTCGACAGATGCAGACAGAGCGGTGCTGCTTAATACAGGTAATCTTGTATTGAAGAACCAAAAAGGTCAGACTCTTTGGCAAAGCTTTGATTATCCGACTGATACTCTTTTGCCTACTCAAACACTAACAAAGAGCAAACGCTTGATATCTGCTTCCAGAAAAGGAAGCTTCCAATCTGGGTATTTTAATTTGAACTATGACAGCAATAATGTTTTAACATTGAGTTATGATGGCCCTGAAATATCAAGTGTGTACTGGCCTAGTCGTGATCCTAATTATGAGGTTTGGAAATATGGAAGATCCTCTTTTAACAGTAGTAGAATTGCAGTCCTTGACGATATGGGTGTGTTTATTTCAAGCGATAGGTTGCAATTTAATGCTTCAGATATGGGTTTTGGGATCAAGAGGAGGATAACCATCGACTATGATGGTAATCTCAGAATTTATAGCTTGAATGACTCAACTGGATTATGGTTGGTTACATGGCAGGCTATTGCACAACCATGTAATATTCATGGAATCTGTGGGAGAAATGGAATTTGTATACATGGAGAAAAGACAGGATGTTCATATCCGCCTCGTTACGAGTGGAGTAACCATACAGACTTAAGTCAGGGTTGTAAGCCTACATTCAACAAAAAATGTGTCAACTCAATAAGCTTTGGATTTGTGGAGTTGTCGCATACAGATTACTACGGCTTTGATTTAAACTTCACGAGAAACATTTCACTTGAAGATTGTAGGGACATATGCTTGGGAGATTGTCGTTGTGATGCATATAAGTATAAACTTAATGGTGAAGGTTTTTGCTATGCTAAAAGTGCCCTTTTCAATGGCTATAGTAATTTAAATGTCGAAGGGGCCATCTACCTGAAAGTACCAAAAGCCATGGAAACACCAATATCTACCTCAATCCTTACTAGTTCCATGCCCACATGTACGGATGCCTCAGTAGTTATGATAGGTTCTCCATCTATGTATGAGTCATCTGACACAAAGGTGAAATGGATCTATCCTTACTCTATTGCTTTCGCTGTTGGTGTGGTTGAAGTTTTGCTTATCTTATTGGGGTTGTGGGTTTTCTATGGAAATAACGTGTTCGTAGCCAACTTAGAAGATGGGTACCGTTTGATATCAAGTCATTTTAGGGGTTTTAGTTATCATGAACTGGTGAAAGCAACAAAAAATTTTAAGGTTGAGATAGGGCGAGGAGGCTCAGGGGCTGTGTATAAAGGAATTCTTGAAGACCAAAGGGTGGTGGCTGTGAAAAGATTGGAAGATGTAACAGGAGGAGGAGAGTTTTGGGCAGAAGTGAGCACAATAGGTCACATCAATCACATGAATCTAGTGCGAATGTGGGGATTTTGCTCAGAGAAACGACACAGACTTGTAGTTTATGAGTACGTGCAAAATCTTTCTCTTGATAAGAGACTGTTTTCCTCAAGTTTTCTTCAATGGGAACAAAGGTTCAAAGTCGCAATAGGAATAGCAAAAGGTTTGGCTTATCTACACCACGAGTGCCTAGAATGGGTGATTCATTGTGATGTGAAGCCAGAAAACATTCTTTTAGATGCTGCATTCGAACCAAAGATTGCTGATTTTGGTCTTGCAAAGTTGTCTGAGAGAGGTGGACAAAATGACGAGTTTACTAGGATCAGGGGGACAAAAGGATATATGGCTCCCGAATGGGCTCATAACCTGCCTATCACAGCAAAAGTCGACGTGTACAGCTATGGGATCGTGGTTTTAGAAATGGCAAAGGGAATTCGGCTTCCTAATGTGATTGTTCAAGGAGCAGAAGAGGAAGAATCCGCTCTAATGGGGTTTGTAAGGTTAACAAAAAGAAAGATTCTAAAAGGAAAAGAGTTATGGATTGATGAGATCATCGATCCGAGGTTGGAAGGGTTATTTAGCAAGAAGCAGGCTATAAAACTGGTTGAGATTGGTATTGCTTGTGTGGAGGAAGACAGAAACAAAAGGCCTACAATGGATTCAGTAGTCCAAGTTCTAATTGATTGCGAGTCTGAGTTGTGCTACAAAGAATAAGACATTATCGTTTTTTCAAAAGTATATATACGATGTTATAACTAGTGGAATAAAAAACAAACGTGTAGCATGACTATATATATGGTTGTATATTCATTTTACCTAATAATTGTGTTACACATTTATTTCTGAATGTTTTATTTTGTTAGAATAAAGAGAGTTAAAATATATTGGTTGTAGAAAAATGAATATATAAGTTTGAATTCGATATAAAGTGTTAAAATGTATCACAATAATTATGGTACAATTTATTTTCTGAATGTTTTTTTATGTTAGAATAAAGAGAGTTAAAATATATTGGTTGCAGAAAAATGAATATGTAGTGTAAAAGAAGTTAAATTGTGAAATGACAAATAATACATTCTATAGATATATAACTAATTTCTTGGTTTTGGTTGTCTTATTATTATAAGAATAAATAGATGTGTAATATATTTCTTGTGAAAAATAAAAACGTAATTTATAAATAACATATGTGAATTCGGTATATTATTAGGTGTAAAGCCGAATATTACCTTTTATAATGAAAAATCCAATAAAATTGTGACATGGAACGTGGTTATAGTTGAAAATTATCAAATTATGTTTTAGTTCAAAAGACGAGAAATTATCATTTTTTTTCTTCTATGAATATCCTGAGTCCTAAAAAAATGTAATAGAAGATAAATAATTAACTGTTTAAAAAAACAATATGCAATCTTCAAAATAAAAATAACAAAATTACCAATCCGAGATATCTAGATCGACTTCAAAGACCATATTGTGTGGAAAATTGAGGTAGTAATTCAAAATGAAAACATACCATTTCCACGTTTAGTATATCCAGTCTCATGGAGATATTGGAGCAATCTCACGATTCATATATATATATATATATATATATATATATATATATATATAAAAGATTATGTAAAAAGTTTAATCATATAAACAGGGAAAAATCCCCAGTCCTCAATGAGGGTGGGGATGAAATCTTATTCCTTGATGGGAATGAGAATGAGAATGGGGACGGGGACGGGGATAGGGATTGGAAAGCGGAGATGGGGATGGGGATGTCAATCCCTTGATACCCTCGATCATATTGCCATCTCTAAATCCAACCCCTATCAAACTGGGCAACGCCAAGACAAACTCAACTTCGGCAGCCTTCTCGGTATCCTTCGCCTACTTTCGTGCCTCTTGTTTCCCAAGCCACCACCACTCATGTTTTTTGGACCACGTCACTACTACCTATGCCGACCACTCTCATGGTCATCTTCTCCAAATTAAAGATCGTTTGAACACTCTCTCCAAAACCACCGAAACCATCACCGAATACATGCAATCTATATCAAAGCATGTACCAACGAACTCTCTATAATCGGTGAGCCCATGCACAATGAAACCATCATATCAGAAGTTCTCAAAGTTCGTGACTATGATTTCTACAAACCCGTTGTTGATGTCAACCGTGCTCGTGACTCTCTTATCACCTTTGAAACTCTCCATCAGAAGCTTATCAATCACAAAATCACTCTCAAAAATCAAACCCAACCATCCTCTTTTCCCACTTCCTTCATTCCGTCACTTATTGTCTTAATCAAAATCGTACCTACTCTCGCAACATCACCACTCCCGACCTCTTTCCCACTCCAAACATGAACAACAATTGCACCCCAAAAGCTTATCTCGACAAATGTCAATTGTGCCATCGTTTGGGTCACTTACTCTCTCATTGCCACGTCTTCAAACAACTCTTCCCTCAAATAATCATCCCCAGTTCCCCATCGGTCCAAAATCCACCAACGGAATCAAACCCTATTGAGTCTCTCACTCGACTCTTTTGTTGGAACAAGGGAGCCATACACCCAACAAAAATAACCGTATTTTTCTAAAAATCTATATGAAATAGAGTTGAATGGTAAACAAACAGCTACCCTTTGATTTTGTTTCTGAATCTAAGCCAACAAAACACAGCCCCTTGTCTCCGTGGTATACATGCAAATGCTCTGAATCTAGTTGACGTCCTAAGCCAAGAGACGAATCATCTTTCTTACTGAATGCTAGATATGGTTTCCCCTCTTTGGAAGAGAACGAAGAGCTTGTGGAATATAAGAAAAGTGAATCGAATCAGCCGATCAATTATTGCAACTAGCTCTTCCATTGTCTCATAGTATCTCTCTATTTATATAAGTGTACTGATGGTCATATAATAAACAGATATTATATGTCCCATGCTTGGAAGACTAGGTCGTCCTTTTAGAAGATACAGTGTTTTATAAAGGCACGCGTAGTCCTTTTATTCATGATTAAACCATTTTTCACGAAATAGACTGGACTCACATGATCCCAAGTCTATTTAACATATTAATGGCAAATTGAAGATCTTTCATAAAACCACCTCCATAATTTTGGCGGTTGAAAAATCAAGCAATCTTGATATATCCCACGTGAAGGTGGGTGAGATGGGATGTACGTAGACTTGACATCTACTCCAAAAAAATAGAACAACTATTTTCGTGACAAATCACTCGAGCTCATGCAAAGCATATGAAAAGCAATGATAGATCAAGCTAAAAGACATGGGTTAACGATAATTTTAGCCTCCCCACTTCACATGTCCTACTTTGTGAGATTCACAGGGTCCGTTTTATTTATTTAATATATTAACTATTTACGGAAGAAAAAAAAACCTGTTAAATCAACCCAACCGGTTATGATCTGTCCTAAAAGTTTACTTTAACCAAACACAAAATTTCCCGACACTGGGCAAATCCATGAAGAAGCATGCCAGATGAAAGTAGTAAAGAAAACTGTTTGTTTTTTCAAGGGCATAAATAAAGCAAGCATGAAACTTGAAGAATTAAGTTTTAAATTAGCACAAGAGTTAACAGCGGCATCCATCTACCTTTTTCCGTCAATTAAACCACTATCAAACAGTCATTTATAGCTAACAAAGCTTAATAATTAAGCCACCATCAATTAAACTATAAATTTTACATTTGATACCACATGGTGAATTGTTAATTTTATATGGTTTAAACCACAAGGGTGGTGTCTGATTGGTTTGAGTTTGGCTCCAAAGGTCAAAAGTACCAGGAGGTCTCAGGTTGTGAAATTGTTTCATATAATACTTTTTTTGATGAATTTATTTCATATATGGTTATGAAATTGTTTCATATAATATTTAATGAATTTTTAATAAAACTGTTTTATGTATTTCTCTAAAATTAAAATAATGAAGATGATAATATCCATGATTAACACCCTCCACAATAAAAATGGTTTATCAACCTCTCATAATTACAAAAAAATGAACAAAATGAAAAATTATGATCGATTGAATGAGGTTTTCACGGTTTGTACAAATTGAGTGGTTTTTATTTGAACGCTTCTCTCTCTCTCTCTCTCTCTCTCTATATATATATATATATATATATATATATATATGGTTTAATTTTTAATTATTTAAAAATACATTAAAAGACTCATACGTTGGGCTTATACTGGCCCAAGTTGTACTCTACTGGGCCATCAAGGTGATTATGATTTAAGAGTTTGGGTTGTAAATATATCCAGTCCACTTCAAATTCAGACACTTCACATTCACAGCTTTTAGAAGACTATTTGGAATAAACCAAAGGCCAATACATCTTTTACCAAGGCTTTGCCTCTTATTGATGCAGATAAAACTGATAACATTCATATGTAAATTTTACGTAGAGCCCGTTAATTATCATATATTATATTATAAATTATTTGATAAAAACTCTTAAAAACTATTTTTTATGCATGAAGTATTGTACATTGATGCATATTACTTAAAATTTCAAGATTATAAGTAAATCATGCACAAGTACAACTTATTAAAGCTCCATGTTTGAATTCATGTAACTAACTGCTTATAAACATAATCAAATAGAGGATAAACATCTCACTTTAAAATATAAAAAATCTAAAATATAATTAGGATAATTATCGAGTTCTAACAAAATAATTAATTATTATCTTTATAAGAAAATTATATTATTAAACCAAATATAAATTACTTCGTTATTGAACCTAAATTAGATTATAATAAAAAAAATTGAATTAAAAATTACACAAAAAATGAGGAATTTTAAATAGTTAATTTGATACTAATATCGATATATTTTTGTCAAATTTTTATGATATCTTCAAATTTATGTTTTATTAAAAAAATAAAAACATCATCACTTTTTCAAAATCATATAAGACCATATTGTAACATCGATTGAGAGAAAAAATAAAATGTAATATTAAAATCAAGATGTATCTCGTTCTATTACGCGAGTTCCCTTCTAGTATTATATAATAATTTAAAATTTATCTTTTAAAAACTCTTAGTTTTTTAAGAATATAAATATTATAGCATTATGCACAAATAAATAAAGAGTACGGAATTTTCAATTTTTATGTTGTTTGACAAGAGCTTTTTACACACCAATAGACTTAGTAATTAGGACCAAAAGCAAGTATACAATTAGTCCAAATATTGTTTTTTAAGTAATAAAATGGTAAGTACCAAGTATCGTATTCCACATGGATAGGTATCTTGCATTGCAAGATCTGGAGTTGAAAGACTAACTTCAGACGGCAAATTTGAAGACTGTGTTTGTGTTTGAGTTAACACTACTGAATATGACATAAAATAAAGAAAGAGTGTAAGACTTTTGGTGAGACATAAACACAAATTCTAGCAAACCAATGATGTCAAAATGCCACAACATGCAATTAGTAACAACTATTTGCACTATTTATTTTGAGGGTATTTCTCTCGAATTTCACCATCGTACTGATATTATAGTTTTCAAATCATATCTCTATGTGGTATCCGAACCAGTGAAAGTGAAAAATGTTGTCCTAAAAATGTACGGATAAGCAAATCTATTTGTTAAAAATCATTTTTTCGAGCGGATTCTCATATCATTCAAGTTGACATGTTCCGAATGACTTATCTCTGAGTCCATTCAACTTTAATACTTCAAAGCGATCAACTTGTCGAGAATTAACCATTTAAAAAATATAGATATCAAATCTCTTTATCAGCAACTCTCTGAAGTATACTTCTCATGTCATCCACATTGACATGCAATTAATGACTTAACTTAGAGTCCATGACACTTTAACGTTTTGCAGTGATCAACTTGTTGAAAAGTGCCTCACTGGTTTTATAAAACTTGAAATCAAAATAATGATATGTTGTACTTTATGTCGGTTTACAATCTCAACATTTTCATCTCACACCCAAGCTAATAAATTTAGCTCCTCATAACGGAAATAAATTGCGAGGAAATGTAAAGAACATAAAGTAAAGACATCAAAGTAAATAACTTAAAGTAAATGACTGGAAATAAATGTAAAGAACTTAATGTAATGAAACAATGAATAATGAAGAACAAGATTCAAGAAAATACGAGAATATATATATTAAAATGAGGGCATAAACTTCAAATACTTCAAACTGTAAATCAAAATCAAATTAGATCTGATTGGTACAAACACAAACTCATTCTTCTTATTTATACTAAGCTAGAGAGCGACAAAGTGAAACTTCTAAGCAAAGTTGGTTCATAAGTTAAACTAAAGTTGACATCAAAGTATAAAACTAACTGAATGAATTAAATTAAAACTAGAAGTCCGTCAATTATTTTGCCTTCAAATCTTGATCTCCAAGCTACAAAAAGTCTGACTCCAAAGTAGATCTATGGTTGAATGTATTAAGTCATCCAAAAAGACACCAAAACTAGCAGATCCAATTTTGTGGTAATGATGCAGTACAAACTGATGTCCATAAGGTTGAATTAGCCTTCAATTGACATAAAAACAGGTAAATCACTACTTTAGCTACATAAAATAAGAAAGCGACAAATAAAATAATAAATGACTCAAATTTGGGATATTAAAGGAAAATAAGATAGCTAAAAGAGAAGAAATGAGTGTTATAACAACTAAAATATAAATAAAATTTTAATCAAAAAATTATATAAAAACGAGTATTTTATTCTTTTTAATCTGTTATATATATATATATATATATATATATATATATAGGATTGGGTTCACGTGAGACCAGCCTGTTTTCGTGAGACCCGTGAGACCACATTTTTACACATAAACTTCACAGCAAAAACACATAAACCAACCCTATATATATATATATATATATATACATATATATATATATACATATATATATATATATAATCCCGAATTCATAATCAATGTATTATAAGATAGCTAATTTTTAGGTATATGTTTGGATGCATAAAAGTTATCTTATAAGCTAATTTATTGAAACGTTATTTGATGTAGCATTTTGATAGCTTATTATATTTTTTTTTCAACTATAACTCTCATTATTATTAATTACATATAAAATCTTAATATTATTGATACTAATAGATAGTAATTATAAACAAATATTAATTGAAAACTATGTATTAATTACTTTTAATTA